AATTTAAAATTTATTATTTATGATTGTATTGAAAGGTATATGGAATGTTTAGAATTAAATTATTGAAAGTTGTGTAAGATCAGTCTTTGAAAGCTAGAAAGCATCATTCAGCAAAATTAAAAAAGAACTATATAAATTGAAAAACATTTGTTGTAAATATGTTGACTCAAGTTTGAAAATGTCAGTTTTCTTCAAATCGAACTACAGAGGTAGCAAAATATACCAGTTAAACTCCCAGAAGGAATACTGGGTAGTAACTGATAACTTTTTAAAATTACTTTAAATGTTATTATGCTTTGTCTAGATGCCCCCACCCCAAGTCTCAGGTGCTCATAGGTGGGGCTTTTCAAAGGTGGCTGGATCTGGGTGTGTGCATGTGGATTAAGGGGGTATAAACATGGTTTAGGGGTGTGATAATGGGATTAGTTAACTAATTGATTAGCATAGTTCTTGGTATGGATAATGGGAGGCCCTCCTTGGGTGTGGGTGGCACCAACCAATAGACTTGTAGCCTGAATGCAATTAAAGGGAAAGGTGAGGCTCACTGCTTTTACTTTGGTGCCTTCTCTCTGCCCTGCCATGGACTGTTTCTTTTCTCTGATGCCCCTCTACCACGCCAACTTGCCTTGGAGCCAGATGACTATGTCCTGAAACCTCTACAAAAGGTAAGCCAAAATAAAACTTTTCTCTTTTAACTGTGGGTGTTGAGTATTTTGTCTCAGCAATGAAAAAAGTAACTAAGACAAATACAAAAGACCTAAAATACCCAAGAGAAGGTTGAAAAAGTGATTTTAAATTTATGAGGCTACCCTAATCATGACAACATATTATTGGTGTTAAACTAGGTGACTAGATCAGTACATGAATAAAACAGAAAGGAGAGCTCAGAAATAGGCTCATATGGGACTAGTGATTTCTGATAAAGATGCAGATGCAATTCAGCAGATAAAGGATCCTTTTTAAATAAATGGTGCTGCAACAATTAAATATTTTTGTTTACACAATCTAGCTATCACAAGTTGCACTGCTATAAACATGGGTGCACATATATCACTGTGGTATGATTTCAATTTTTCTGGAGAAATATCCAGTGGGGAAATAGCTGGCTTAAGCGGGACCTCTAATCCTAGTTTTGTGGGGAATCTCCACACTGATTTCCACAGTACAACCCAAATGCCCATCAACTGAGGAATGGGTAAAAAAGATGTGGTATTTTTATACAATGGAGTATTACTCAGCTATAAAAAAGATAAATTTGGGCTTTTATAGGTAAATGGATGCAACTAGAGACCATATTCACAAGTGAAATAAATCAGACCTGCGTGTGTAAACATTGTATTGTCTCCCTAGTATAAAAACCTGAAAGAGCAAACAAAACCCAAAAGGTACAATAGATATTGTGAAAGGGAAAGACATTGCTCAAAGGGAAGGAACAACTGGGATGAGGGAAAGGAGAAAAGAAAGAAAGAAGAAAGGGAAAAATATATATGTATATAGGATAGCTGGGATAATTGTACTGCTGATATTTATTGATTTATTGAAAGGAACAGTTAATGCTTAAATTTTTTTGGACCAGTTTTGCATGCTTATATCTGGTTATCTGAACAACTAATCTGAAGACAACAATATGCAATATAACAACCATTGCTGAATTCCTACCATCTTGTTTAGTGAAGCTCTGTAGTATTTCTAATTATTATTATTTTTTATTCTTTTTAATTGCTAGATCAATTTGCATTCTTACATGTGAGCAATTTCATTGAAGATAACAATATGTAATATAACAACCACTGTTAATTTCCTATCATCTTGTTTTGAAATTCTGTATCGCTTTTGTTTTTGTGTTGTTTTGTTTTTGTCTTTGTTGTTGTTATTTTGTTATTTTTTTCTCTTTAAAATAAAAAATATACTGTAATGTAAAAAAATTTGTTTAAGGAAGGCATTTTTGTACAAACCTTCACCATATACAACACTGAACTGAAAATGTATTTATTATAAACCTAAGTGTAAAACTCCAAACTAAGGAGAAATTTTTTTCCCTTGGACTGAGTAAAGAGTTCTTATATACAAAATAAGTAACACAATTAATTAAAGAAAAAAAACTGAAAACGGACTGTATCAAGATGAAAAACTTCCAAACATACTGTTAAAAAAATGAAAAGATGGAGTCATATATTGGTAGAAATATTTTCAAACTACATATTAAATAAAGAGATTATATTTAGAATATAAAAAGTACTCTTCAAACTCAAAAATAAAACATGCATCTGTGTTTGAGGATTGTTTTGGTTTGTGTCTGCATGTTCCCCCAAATCCTCATGCAGTCATGGGGTGGGCTTCTCAGATTTGTGGTTGATCCATGATCCAATGCTGGGATTATGGGTGTGAGTGCTACACCCGCCCTGGGGGGGGTAGTTTGCATACAATGGAGGGAAAGAGGCTCCTTGCCACCGCTTCTCCTTTTGCTCTTGTTGTTTTTGCTGTGTTCTGCTACCGTGAACACTTGCCCTCTGCCATGTTCCACTCTGCATTGGAACCAGCCCAGTATGGACTAAAGCCTTCACAAACTGTAAGCTAAATAAACCTTTCCTTCCTTAATTTTGGGTGTTGGGTATTTTGTCCCAGCAATGAGAGAAAAGTAACTGAGACCAGGATACAGATCAGTGACAGAGTACTTATGTAGAATGAGTAAGGACCTGGGTTAAATCCCAGAACCACAAAAACAAAGCAAAAAACACAAAAGGGCTGGGGGTGTAGCTCAGTAGCACGGTACTTGACCAGTTTGTGTGAGGCCCTGAGTTTGATCCTTAGCATCTAAAGCAAAAGAAAAATCCCATTACACATAAACCAAGGATTCAAACAGATTCTTCACCCAAGGAATATAGGAATGTCAAATAAGGACAGCACCTTTAGATCACTGGATACACTGAAAGGATTTGGAAGACACAGAACTCTATTGCTTATGGGAAAGTAAAATGTTGCAACCATTTTAGGGGAACTATTCAGTGGTTTCTTAAAAAGCTAAAGATCCCCTGTCATATCATCTAACCATTCTGTTTCTAGGTATTTACCCAGGAGAAATGAAAGGTTATGTTTATAGATTTGTACACAGATATTCACAGTAGTCTTATTTGTAGTAGCCCAAACTGGAAACAACCCAAATATCTACCAACAGATGAATAGAAAAACAAATTGTTGTATATCCACAAAATGAAATTCTTCTCAGCAATAAAAAGGAATGATTTGAGTACCTACATAGTTGAATCTCAGAATAATGATGATGAACGAATAAGGACAGATTTAAAAAGAATACAGGCACTCTTCGTTTAATGACCTACCCATTTAATGACTGTTCCTACTTATGACTGAGGCATGCTGTTGGAAGTCTGACCAGCCATTGGACTTATGACTCATCTTTTTCTTGTATAGTTCTATACATCTTGTTTATAGAGCCTCCATTTTTTTTTGCACAATGCACCTTGTTTATACAGTACTGTAATATTTGCTTATCATAGTATACAGTACTGTAGGGTCACATTGTTATACATTTCAGTAGTGCATGTAAGAGTTATGCAAATAAAAGCAAAGTCATCAAGGTCAAGTTTCCTTTGAGCACTTCTTTGTTCTGAATATTGTAATGTAGGGCTATATCATTGATGACGCAGAATCAAATTATATACCACCTTCTAGGCAGGAGTATTATTTCCTGACTGCTCCTGTACGACTTCATGGTCAATTCATAACTTATTTATATCAGTGAATGTCTTTAAATGGGTAACTGACAACTGCAGTGGGGTGGAAGCTGTCATTGGTGTATAGCTACATCTCCAGCCCTTTTTCTAACATTTTATTTTGAGAGAAGGTCTAAGTTGCCCAGGCTGGCCTGAAACTTGGGATTCTTCTGCTTCAGCCTTCACTTTAGCTGGGATTACAGGCATGTGCCACCAAGCCAACTAATACCAATATTCTTTTAAACACCTTCTACATTTTGTGCTAAATAGTCTTACATGAATAAATTATTGTCTTGGGACCACATTAAACAGCAATCAATGACAGTTAAGAACAACCATTTGGTAGTAGGACATATTCAACTGCATGTATAAATTTCCATGCAAGCCACTTATTAATGTGAATTAAATTTGTATGATTCTCATTCCTATTGTGGACTAAAAAAAGCTGAGTAAGCTCTCAAGTCTTTGCTGTAAACCGACATTTGGTTTTGATGTGAAGTATTATCATTTCAAAATACAAGGTAAAATGAAGACGTTTATTCGGTATGATAATGAGATTGGACTTTTACATAGAATTATTAACTTTATGTTCTCAGGAATGAGGACAATGAATAATAGGTTATACATTTAATAATAGGGATCCACATTTCATTAGGACTCCCTCACATCAGTGTTGTCTAAAGAGCTACACTATACAGTGTTAGCACCTTACACATAGTTACGTGTTCAATGCACGCTGTGAATACTTCATGACGCTGATGAAGACCGTGTACATTGCTAAGGGCTGCGAGTTGTTTAATAAAGACATTAACGCTGGGTCGGGCTCATTCGTGAAGCCATACAAAAGCAAGTTGACGTACTGTAGCTGGATTCTAAATTTAACCATCTTTGCTTGTTTAAAAAAATCTTTTCTTTGCTCTACAGCATGGACTACTTCATATAAGTTTGTTGAATGACTATTGCGTGCCCAAATAGGCATCGAAAATGAAAGTAAGACGACAAAGTCCCTGATCTTGCTGAGCACACAGGCGGTTTTTCCAGATTATCAGAAATAAATTCAGAAAACAGTCCGCAAGGCCGGCCTAGGTCTAAGATACCCGCTCCCAAAGTTTAGTCCAAACCATTAAATTGTAGGTGGTGGAATTTCCCGATTTTGAAAACCGGTTCGCTCTACCAGCCCTTAATCCAGGCACGCCACAAAGCGCCCCCGCCCAGGCGCGACAGTGCGCATGCGTCCCCGGGGAGGCGCTCTGTGACCCTGAGAGGTTGCCGTCGCGCAGTGCGCAGATAAGAGGTCGCGCGTGCGCAAGCGCTCGTCCCAGCGGCTGCCGGAAGCCAAGATGGCGCGTATGTGGTCTCCAGGTCGTAGTTGGCGCCTTATCAGTATCTGAACTAAGTAGTTTGGAAGCCGCTGTGGCAAGCAGCGCCTCTCTGCCGTCATGGCCCGGCATCGGAATGTCCGAGGCTATAACTACGATGAAGGTAGGTGGCAGGGCCACGCTTGGGCATTGTCGCTGTTCGACTGGGATCCCAGCCTGTTGGCATCCGCTTCGATCAGTGAATCCACAGTGGCCCAGACTGGTATTCCGGGGGGCCCAAAATTGGGGAAAATAACAGATCATCTGAGTGCCAGTGAATGGCGTTAAATTGTGGTTTCCGCCCTCTGGAATCGAGTTTATTTAGAAAGAGGGAGGTGCCATACAGCGTATGGGAAGGGTATTTGGCGAATTTGGGATGCTATGCTATTAGGCACGTAGACACACTTATTTATTTCATTATTTTTTTCGAGGCTGGCTACTCATGTGCCTGGTTCTAACTCCTTTCCCCAGAATGCCTTTTCAGAAAAGGCCATGAAACTTTCTTTACTTGTAAAACACAGATTTTTTTTTTTTATCCCCGGTACCGGGAATCGAACTCACGACCTCGCGCTTACCAGGCAGGCACTGTGCGGCTGAGCTAAATCCACAGCCCCTAAACACAGATTGACTTAGTTCCTGTGTTCGACTAACTTGATGTAACCGTGTATTTATTTACATGTTAAATGTTTCCGTATGTTCTTACGTTTTTTGTACGGAACCTGACTTGAGCTGATTTGTTTTTCAAGGCGTTTCGAATTGTAGCAGACAGTAGAGGAAATATATATTAAAAAGGCGCAGCAATTCCATTAGATAATCTTGAGGTGTTTACTCAGGTTTTGGCTGGTAATACTGAATATAAATGTATGTTAAAATGGAAATAAACAGTAGAGAAAAAGGCATCGATGAGAATATTGATTGTAAAAATGAAATAAAGAAAAGTATGTATATGAATGTTTTCTAGGAGTTTGAATGGAGTTAGAGGTCTCTTAGGAGGAACACATGTAGTAGATAGTTATAAGCATCACCAAGCATCGTAGAAACTAAAAATATAAATAATTATGTACTAATGCAGGATAGAAATAAAGACCTATCGCTTTGTACAGTGCAGAACAGGCAGCGCTTAATATATTGGTAGTTATTATTAGCACCCCTGTTCTAGATTGTTCTAGAACATTAGTATTAGTGTGCTCTACTAGTGGGAGAGCAACAACTAAGGCTGTATCTGAAGACTGAACCAGTCTACCCGGCATGCACTGATTTTTCTGGCATTCATTTTAGAATGGAGGTCCTTTTCAGGAAGTATTGTGTTTGTAAATATTGGCAGAGGGGCCACTTACTACCTGAGAAATGACTTTGGACTGCAAGATAATTTTGCAGATATGAAATAAGGGACATGAATGAAGCTTATTGTTATTTCTTTAATAATCACCATTTTCTCAACCAACAATAATTGAGTGTTCAGAGTATTGCTCTAACATTGGTGAATATTAAGATATTGAGGAGGTCTCTGAGAAGATAAAAGTAACAGATGATTAGAGTATGCGTGATACTACAGCAAGTAATGGCAGTGCTGTGAGGCTATTTAAAAGAACATCTCATTCAGAACAGGTTGGGGGTTTAAGCAGGATGTCTGTGGCAAGTAAAGCTTGCTGAAAGGGAGGTGCTTGGCATCAGGGAAGGAGTGCTAAATATTTTCTGGACAATCAGTCCAGATTGTCATGTTTCTTTGGAACAGCTGGTGACATCATAAGCAAGTTGTTCCGTAGCAAATGAGGTTCATCCCTTTTTTCTGCTTATAAAATTTACTCATCTTCAGGGTCCAGTTTCTCTTCTTTCCAGTGAAGCTTTTCCTTGGACTCTCAGAATAATTATGCAAAACTTGGAAAAAGTAATATAACCTCACTAGAGTCTATATTCTAGATTGCTAGCTTCTTCTTTTTGACCCACACTTTGTTTTTCTCTGTAATTTGGGTAGTGCTTTATGTGACTGCCTTGGCTACTAATTTTTACTTTAAGTCTATACTTAGCCCTGTAGCTGGCATAATGTCTTTTATTTAGTAAACACTCCAAAATTTTGATGTAGAAATGAATCACTTTACCAAGATTGCAGGAGAGACAATTTTATTTATCTTTTTATACTGTAGCATTTCAGGATCAGTTTTACTGTTGACAAATTGATCTAGCAAAAACAATTCTTAATACCTAAAATACCTGTTTGTGAGTAGTCCCTCATTTGTTTGCTAATATATTGTTTTTTTTTCCTCTGCTGTAGCATTTGGTTTCAGCCTTTGCCCATGCTGTATCTGCTGCATGAATACATTCAAAACTTGACTAACTTGGGTTGATTGTAGTGGCACATACATGCTTATAATCCCAGCATTTGGGAGGCTGAGGCAGGAGGATTGTGAGTTTGAGAGTTTGAGACCAGCCTATGCTACACACAGAGACTGTCTCAGAAATCCAAAGTGGCAGGTGAAAGGGGCGGGGGAGAGGTTAATTCTATTTTTGTGGTTTGGGTTTATATATATTCCTGGGGATCTTTTCTTAGCCTTCTCATTACTAACCCTAATTTTGTTCGTATGTGTCGTCCAGTGCTCTGAACGCTTATATGGTCTTGTAGTTGTCTGTGTTCCTGTCTGTATTCTCTTCCAGAATTTTGGTTTAGCGAGAACTGGGAATGTGCTCACTTTTGCACCAAAAGCCCTTCTCTGTCTCTGTCTCTGTCTGGCTCTCTCTCTGTCTGGCTCTCTCTCTGTCTCTGGCTTAGTGTTAGTATTTGTTGAACCAGTTAGTAAATACATTTACATAAATATTAGTGCCAAAAATGTGCCAGATAGTTGGCTAAAACAACTTGCTCTGAAGGAACTGATAGCTTCCTAGAGTGAAACAGGTGTGGTGCTTTGAAGACAGTAAATTGGAACAGTGTGCCAGAAGTTAAGGTAGCAGGAGAGCTTGCCACATTACACAGAGTGATCAGGAAGATTTCTGCAAAGAGGTGACATTTAAGCTGGGTCCTTGACTGGGAAAAAAAAACAGCCTTAGGAAAACGTAGGCAAAGAGCATATTCTGTTAAGTGAGAAAAAGGCCTGTGAGCTGTGAACTAAGTGAGCACAAGGGGACTTAGGGTGCAGCTGGCTCATGTAAGGGTTACCTAGCTCTACGTGAAGAAAAATATAGAATGTCAGTAAATACCTACTTTGTAGGTGAAATTCTTGGAAGTTTTTGGAAAGTAGATTTAGGTTCCTTCAATTTTGATAATTTAATTTTGTAGAGAATTCAGCTATTCATTAATAAGGAAGAATATTAAAAAAACCTGTAAATGAATTTATCTCTTTTGTTCCTGTTTCAGATTTTGAGGATGATGATTTCTATGGCCAGTCTGTAGAGGATGATTATTGTATTTCGCCATCAACAGGTGAATTTTTAAAAATTACTTGATTTCCTTGATTTGTGTGTTTAAATATGTCAGGTAAATATTGTTGTCATTTTAGGACCAGAGTGTTTCATAAGACTGAACATTTAAAAAGAATATGTAACATTTAAAAAGATACATATATGTTAATTTTTAAAGGTGTGTATAGTAATTTCTTTAACCATGAGTAGTTTTTAAAGATTTGATTCCATCATTTAGTTTTAAACAATTTGAAGAACATGCTGAAGACTGGTTTTTCCAATATTTATTGCAACATACAATTAATCTAAATGCACTAGGATGGTTATTTAGTTGATAATGAAATTCTAATACCTCTGGAGGCACACAGCAGTTAATTTTATATCCTCCAGGACATTTTTAATATTAGGAATAGGTAGACTTTGCTTTTCATATAGTACTTTAGTTTTTTTTTTAAATTGATATACATATTTACAAATTGCAGTGTGATACTTAGTATTTTAGTTTATCTGTTGTTAAATGGTTTGGTAAATAAACCAAATATATACTTTAGACTTCTGATAGAACCACAGATGTAGAATTTGAATTCCTGCATTAGCTAGAACTTCTATCCATCTTTCAGAGATCCTTCACTGTCACCATATAAAGAAAACAATCATGTTCTTTCTAGTAAAGGCTGAATTTTTTACCTTTCATGCATTTCTCTAACCGTATGTTGTCTTTAAATTTCAGCTACTGTATAAAGAGTGGGTGAAAATGCCGTTAAATTTTAATACAGTATTGAACGGGTATACAATTTACCTATAATTAAATGAGGTATAAATATAACTTATAAAACTCATTTTCTAAAAATTTAAAAACTTCATATAATTAACATTACTATCTGGGTCCAGTGCCCAGTACTGGATAAGAACAAGGCTCTAGAGAGACTTGCCTTGTCTTTTTATGAGGGTACAGCAAGTAGGAGCTATCTGTGAGCTAGAATCTTCCTTGATCTTGGACTTTCTGACCTGTAGAACTGTGAAAAATAAGTTTTTGTTTTCTATAAACAATTTTTGTATGGTATTTTGTTATAGCACCTTGAATAGTCTAAGACATCCTATTTTTTTTTTTAATGAAAAATTTTTATTTAAGGAATTTCACATGTAATTCCTTCAGTACTCATGAAGGTCATTTTACTGAGGTTTTCTTTGTCTTCAAGATAGCCCTCTTTAAAAGAACTGATGCTTAGTCTAGTCATCTTATCTGCCCGCAATTTTTTTTTATCTCCACTTGAATTATGGACAAACAATGACAGCGTCAAAACTTCTGGGATCTTAGATCCAAATTTCTTCTAACAATTTACACTTTAGGAGCACTTAGGGTAGATGGATCTGCCTTGCACTAATACTGTCTCTAAATATGCATGAATTCATATTCATTTCCTAAGTTATTCACAGAACAGTAGTACAGATCTCTAGGATATTTGAATATCTGACGTTAAAGGAAAAATTACTAAAGTTTGCATACTTTTTTCTGTTTTGTAGTACCTTATCACAGGCCTAAGAAACAGACCTGTGGTGAAAGCAAAATCATACTGTTACACTATGAAGCATTTCCAATCCTTCGTATATTAATTATAACATAGTCTGCTGGGCTGTCCTATAAATTGTACCCGCTTTAATCTTATTTTTAGTCTCTGAAGGCAAAATATATTCCTTGTGACATTCATAATTTTTTCTATTTCTAGTCATAGGTGCTCAAGCTCTTATCTTTCATACTTCCTGCTATATGTTAATCTGACATGTGCCTGGCTTTTTGTATATGGGCCTGCTTTTAGAGTCAAGTACTTTTCTCATTGAGCCTAATCATGGCCTCTCTTCTTTTTCTTTAGTGTTTTGTAAACATCGGTCAGGATTCTGGCCTAACGGACACAAATTATTGTACCAGTTACTAGAGGGAATTTAATATAAAACTTGTCAACTAGGTATGACAGAACAAAAATGCAAAAAGGACAACCAAAGTTTCAAGAAGGTTGTCACTTCAGGGAATATTTACCATTACTAGTTCGTGGACAAGGCTGCAGCCAGTGTCTTAGAAGCTGTGGGTGCTTTGTGGAGCTGTGGCCGGAATGACAAGGAGAGGGTTCTGCTTTGCTGCTTTTCCTCTGAAGTTCACAGGAGGGATGTGGAGCTGCCACTCAGACCTCCGTGGAGGGAGGCACTGCCTGGCTAATGCAGCTGCCTCTGAAGGGACCCTTAGAAGCTGAGATTCAGCCTTTTGAAGAGAGGGCTCCAACCTGGCTGGTTGTGGAGTCTGCGGAGTGAAGGAGCAAATGGATGCAAATGGAAGGAGCAAATATTAATTGCTGTTTACTGGAATAAGCTGCTTGAGTCAAGTGAACTATTGTCAGGTTGAAGCTGACTGGAACAGCAAACAGAAAGAAGAGAGACGTGCCTTCCTTCTCTAACCTTCCTGAAAAGGAGCCAGTTGTCAAAGAAGAAATATGTGTTATAGAGACATTAACCGCAGCATTATAAGCATGATGCAAATATGGTTAGAATCTGAGACAGCTTAGTAAATAGCACTTTAGAGCTCCTAATTGAGGGACTCAAAGGAGGGCAATTTGTAGAGATTGAGGAGTAGAAGAAATCTCTCAGATGGGCATGGTGGTACACACCTGTAGTCCCATTCCTTGGGAGATGGAGGCAGGTGGATTGCGAGTTTAAGGCCGGCCTGCTACACAGTGAGGACCCCTCCCCCAACACCTCTCTATTCCAATAAAAAGAAAAAATTACCCACTTTTTCCAAGGAATCCACTCTACACTTTCCCTTTGGAGTTTCTACGATTCAGCATCATAGTTGGCAAATTAAATTGCATTTTAGAGGCAACATTTTAGAGATCTTGTAGCACTGTCTTTGTCCCTGCATTCTCTGTTCAGGAGGAAGAGTGGTATGTTCCCGTAATTGAAGTGTAATACTAGAAGTGAGTTTTTAAAACATCTCTTTTACGTGGCAACTAGGATTGGAGGAGGCCCACAAGTGGCTTGAGATAGACTAGGTAGGAGACTGTTAACACCTCTCCAGAGGAGACAGGCTGTTTAGAACTGTGTTCTTAAAGTATGGTCTCTGTACCATCAATAGCACTTGAGAGTTTTTGTTAGAAGTACAGTTTGGGAGCACTACCCAAGAGTCAGTCTTGGAACAAGGCACAGCAGCTGTTCTAACACGCCCACTAGATCGTGTTTATGGCTTGGTTTGGAAACTATTGTGTAGGACAAGAGTGGCAGCATTGGATTTGCAGGAAGATTTCCAGAGCTTTACCAGAGGTAAGGTGTTGTGTAAGACCGGAGCCCTGTCGATCCCCTAGAGTGATTGCTGAAAGGCACCTTACTGTTGCAGGTTAACACACTCCTTTACGTAGGTTTATTTGGGTAAATAATATTTTGTCTTGAGTAATGAGCCAGTAGTACAAAGGTCAGACCTTTGGAAGGTGTTTTTCTAAGATTTGCCTTTGTGGCTTAGTATTTTGAGGACAGGATCAGAGTTTATCCATGTTTCTCCTAGGAATTGTTGTGTGTCTTACCTGTGTTTGTATTCTGGACAGTCTGACTGAGAGTTGCTTTTTAAACATCAGGAAATCAGCTGACGTTACCAAAGCAGGAGATAGTTAAATGGTTTTGAGTTTCTTTTTTGACAAACTGGTATTTTAGCAAAAGCATCTGAACTTAGATTTACTATTTTTAAAACATTTACAGTATAGTTACATCACAAAGGATGTTCCTCTTTAGGGGTGTATTTTCAAGTAATTTCCAATAAAAGTGAATAGTTTTAGAATACTTTCTGTTAGGCAGTTTGCTGTAGCAACAGCAGTAGGATTTGCTGTAAAGGCATTTTTTTGCTTCTTTGTGAAATTGATATGTATTTCTATTAATAACATTATTGGTGGCTGAACACTTTTTAGAGTTTTTATTTATCTTAGGGATTAATGAAACAAGTGAAAGCTTGAGATGTTCAGTATAATAAAAATTTGCCCATGTGGTTTGTTTTTCTTTATCCCCTTTAGGATGTTTTCTACTTCTAAAATAACTTCAAATTTACACAAAAAAAGAAGCAACTATGTCACTAAAGAGATTATTATACTTACAGTCTAGGGAAGTCTGACCATTGAGTTACTTTACCAGTTAGTACAAATTTTTCTGTAAAATTCATCAGCACGTGTATAATTTTTTTTAGTTCTAAGCACAGTTTTCTTGATGGAAAGGTAATTTCTAGTCAATGTGGTGACTCATGCCTGTAAACCCAGCTTCTTGGGAGGCTGAGGCAGAAGGATCTCAAGGGTAGCCTGAGCAGTTTAGCAAAACCCTGTCTCAGAATAAAAAGTAAGATACAGGATGTAGCTTACTCATGGAGTCCTTGCCTAGAAGGTATGAGGCCCTGGGTTCAGCCCTAGCACGCCATACACGCACACACACACGCACACACACACACACACACATGCACACGCACATGTGATTTCTAAATTTCACAGATTTTTGGTACTGAATGTTGCATATATGCCATAAGTGGGGATAGCTTATATATAGAACTATATTTGAATGACTGTATAGTATGTTTCAAAGAATGTGATTAGAGATTCAGTCCTTATTTCATCCATTCCTGGTTCAGCCTTTACTGAGCATCAGTTCATGCATTTAAAAAAAAACCAAACCTGCTTAAGGTCTTGTTTGCACAGCTGGCTGCTACCTCTGGTGAGTGGAGGCCATAATCCTGCCAGGAAGACTGGGACAGCTCTGACAGGAAGTGGGATTGGGCTGGTAAATTTGGGAGATTCACATTCTACGTAGAAGAAAGGACATTGCTTAACCAGTGGCCTCTGTGTGAGACTTGTTTTGGGAGATTCATAGGATTCATGTAAATCGCAGCAGAAGAGGGCTAGGAAAGGAAATAAAAACAAGACTGGAAGTTGTTTTTAATTTTGTGTTTGTGGTTTTGATAACATATACCCCAATAAGGGTTTATTTAAGTAGAGGGGATAGTATTTTAAGCAGGTCACTGATGACGTAAGCAAAATAGACCACAGCTAGGAAGATGAAAGGGAAGATTGTAGGAATTTCTGAGAGTATGTACAAAGAATCTGTGATGGTGTGAATCAATTGGGAGAAATTGTTAAAATACGAATTTCCTGACCTGGTCCAATACCAGTGTATCAGAATCTCTAGGGGAAGAACCTTGAGAGCTGTGACGTTTAGTGAGTGCACTAAATATATAATTTATATAAAAATATAATTTTCATCTCAAGGTGTTTAGCAAACGATTTTAGGTAGTTTCAGATGTTTAGGTATTGAATTTTTTGAGCTTTTATGTTTGTCAGAGTGCCTTAAGTTAAAAAGAAATAAACATGGGAGTGTTTTCTTGGAAAGCACTTCATCAAAGTTTATGATTTAAAATTTTAGAGAGTAATATTTTGTGTTTACTATTTCCTCCTCTTTGTCTTCCTGTCATTTAATTTTTATTTTATTTTCTGCCTTTTGGGCTGTCATTTCAACTTCAAAGGTTTGGGCTGCTTTCCCTCTCTCCTCCTTCCTGGGTCTTTTCCTGTGAGAATTTTCCTACCCTGCTTTTCTCCCTGGCACACCCTGCCCTTACAGCTTCTGGAGCCGTGCCATGGAACAGGTTTATGGGTTAGATTTATGTATGACAGAGGTCCTAGCGGTATTTGGAAACTCCTTAGAGAAACCTGTGCTAGTGCTTCAGGACTTCTTCTCAGTTAGTCTTTCCTAAGTGAAACTCCTTGAGGGAAGTCTCTGATTTCTTATATTTTTGTTTTGATGTGTCTTAGGTTTCTGCCTCACAGTCAGAGGTATGAGAGGAAGTTGGAGGAGGTATATTTGTTAATTTTAGGCTAAACTGAATATAGCGTCTTACTGTGTTGCCCAGGGTGACCTTGAACTTTTTGATCCTTCTGCCTCATCCTCTGGAGTAGTTGGGATTATGGGCATGCACCACCACAACTGGGCTAGTACTTCTGCATTATATTAAATGTAAGATTCCTTGGATTTTAAAGCGTATCCTTACTTTATAGACCACTTTAAAATAAAGGGCTGTCATTCTAAATATTCACACTAAGATGACCTTTGATTATATGAAGCATTTCTAAGATTTTACCTGAAAAAAGCAATCCTTTTAGAGAATTTATATGATAGGATTTTTTTGCTACTCGTCATGAGAATTATAATACTTGTGCTATCAACTTGTACATGAAGGGGAGGAAGGGAAATTTGGTGAAATGGTCTTGTAGATTGGGGGAAAGAATGAAGAACATAAAATATTAAAAAGTAGTATTGTGTAAGGGTATTTGAACAATATTGTGGGTATGTTTTGTGTTGCTTGTTTTTGTTTTTATGCATTATTATGAAATGTGGATCATTGGTTGTGAATGGTAGGTCAGAATCTTCAATTTTTACATTAACTTATGTAAGAAAAGTTAATGGGAAACAGTTATGCTACAGCATTCTTCAATCATTGTATTTTCTAGCTGCTCAGTTTATTTATTCACAACGTGACAAACCTTCAGTTGTTGAGCCTGTGGAAGAGTGTTATTATGATGATCTGAAAGATTCCTCTAATTCTCTTTCACACCAACAGCTAAGTGGAATTGATCAAGGTATAGTAAAAACCATGTCTGTATGTTGTTTACTAGAAAATAATTAATAATCAAATATAACAGTTTATGAATTTTATTGTGATGATGATGGTGACTGGGATACAAACATATCGTACATCTTCAAAAAAATTTACACTTGATTAAATATATTTTATGAGTGGTGTATTTAGCTGTGTGATTGCAAAATTGGTTGTATGGATATTGTTTATTATCTGAACTTTTTGATTGACCTAGTCCATTCTTTCATCTCTTCCATAGGAAAAAACTCCAGTGATTTGTTATAGAACTTTCTAGAATTTTTCCCCATAGGTTCTATGTGGAGCTCATGATTGGGTTACAGAAATGTCTTTATTTGTAAAGATGTTAAGTACTAAAAGGCTTTAAAAAAAGACCAAAATGACAAGTGTCTGGATTGCTCACTTCTGTGCAAATTAACTTTCAAGATAAAACTTGTAAATGGTAGTGACACTGGTTGAGTTTGCTTATTGTCAGATCTTTTATTTTGGCTTTCTTTTATAAGAAAGTTCGAAATGTAATACTGCTCCAAACGTCATTCAAGCTGTGGCTTGATAGCAGAGCTGAAAGGGCCCAGTATATCGGTAATACCACCTGCTGAGCAGTGCCAAGCTGATTTTCTTTTTCTGAATTGTGACTTTTGCTATAAATGCTTTCAAATTGAAAGTTTATAATAATTAATTTGAAAACAGAAAAAACAGAAATCTGTGAGCTGATTTTTGAATATGTCAATAAATTTATAACAGTTAAATCAAGAAAAAAATGGAAAGCATAAATGTACAAAATTAGAAAGCAGAGAGACAACAAAGGTAGCAAAAATTCTTTATTGACTCTGCAAATACATTTGTAACTCTAATAAAGTTAGTAGAGGAGGCATTCCATAAAATTCCTAGTAGTATTTAATTGTATTTTTAAAGCGTTGTGTTACCATTGTGGAATGAGAGAATAGTAGGGGTTTTGTCCCATTTCTGTTGTGTATGTCTCAGTGGATAATGAATAAGTAGTTAATAAAATCCAGAGTTAGTTTTGAGAAGTAAAGTTAATCTTCCAGCCAAACTTACATAAGTAATTGTGTGATGTCAATATGATTGTGGCTCCCTTTTACTAAATGTTGTCCGCATTCTGTTCTAGAGTGCTATTCGTGTTATTTTAAGATATTTTATCTTCACAACAACCTTATGAGGTAGGGTGGTTACTGTCCTCACTTTACAGGGGAGGAAAATGAGATGCAGAAAAGAACTAGGCTGAGGTTGCACCAGCCAGTAAGTGGCATTTAGGACGTGAACTAAGCCAACCTACCACTGTAACTTCTACTTTGAACCTCCTTAGTCCACTGCCTCTTCATGTATGTGCAGAAAATAGTTTATAATTAACTAGAAATTCTGATGCTAACTATGCCAAGTGTTCTGTTCCACGTTCAGTATTCATGCTTTTACCAAATAGGTATTGTTTTTCCCAGTATCACTTACTTGCTTTTTAAAACAAACCTTGCATTGAAGCAAAGTAGAATTGCCCAACTATTTGATGAACTTACGTATGTTTGTTGTTGTTTATTTATTTTTGAGATATAGATTCACTAGGTAGTCTACACTGGCCTCAAACTCAGGATCCTCTTGCTTCAGCCTCCCAAGTGTTGGGATTGTAGGCAAATGCAACTGTGCCTGGATCTCGAGGAATTTATTTTAAATAATTAAAAAATGGAGCAAAGTATCAAGTGCACTTTTAAAAGAAAAAAAGTTACTGCTATTAGATTTCTTGTACAGCATGTAAGCATGTAAAATACAGTGTAAATTGCGTTGCAGATTGGTTTTGTGGAGTAGGGAGTTCAAAAACCTCAGTCCTGTTTGACTATTGCTAACTTACTAATACTGTGATTCCCGCATTCTTATCTTTATAAATTAGAATTTGCCTGATATAGCTAGCTCATAGGGTTATTGTGAAGTAAACAAACTACAGAGGGTGTGTTGTGTATGTGTGCTTAGAGTGTGTATATATATATATATACACGCTACAGAGGGTATGTTGTGTATGTGTGCTTAGAGTGTGAATATATATATATATTCATCTTCATTTATTGGCTCCTAGGTACCGGATTCTTTTTTAAATTCTAGGGATACAAGCCTCTCATCTCATTGACTTTTACTTTTTTTTTTTTTTTTTTGATTTTTCTCCGGTACCGGGAACCGAACTCACGACCTTGCACTTGCCAGGCAGGCGCTTTGCCGCTGAGCTAAATCCCCAGCCCCTGACTTTACATTAATTAATATTGTTAATTACATTTTAGAATAATGTCATAGAAAATTGACATCAGTTTAGACAATTCAAGTTTTAATTTTGTTTTTATTGTTTTATTTTGTGGGGTTGGAGATTGAGCCCAGAGCTTCATGCATGGATGCAGATGCTCTACTGCTGACTAGTCCCAGCCCCTCAATTTTTTATTTTAAAAACAAATGTTCATTCTCCTCTTAATATACTAGACTTTCTTATTTTTATTTCTTTCTTGTTTTTAAATAGTCTTTAAGCATGATTTTAGTTGATTGGAGAAAACTGAAGTTAGCCTTAAGGAAAACTTAAAGAAGTTTTGAAATATAAGAAACAGGCCTGATGATTCACTGTGATCAATAACAAGTTAGAAATCGTCTCACACTGACTACTTCTCTGTGCAGATGAAAGGTGGTCAGTGTATGTTATCATCCTTGTCTGAAAGTAGATACTAGGGCAGTGGTGGCGAACCTATGGCCCATGTGTTACTGTGTTCATTTAAGATAAAAGATATGAGTTGTTTTTCTTCTAAACAAAAACCTCAGAATTCAGGTTTAATTTCAGTTTGTGTAAGTAAGTGGGTTTTGGGGTGCAGTTTGGATACTTGGTCTCTAAAAGTTTTACCATCATTGTACTAGGGTATACCATTTATACTTTCTTCAAACATCAGTATTATTCAGGAGTCATATATCATAATCATGGACTGAAAATAGGATATATAATTAGGATAGGATATACAATTTATATTTTTCCCCCGAACACTAATGTTATTGAGGAACATTTATTATAGTGACTTCTTTTTTTTTATTTTAAAAATAAAAGGAAGAAAACATTAGCAGAGCGACAACCTTTTGCAAAATAGCAAAAGAACAGCACAGACCATACACACAAAGTGGTAGGAAACTAACAATGATTGTTGTATCACATATTGATATCTTCAAAGTGGTTTCTCATGAAAACAGATAGAGACATGCAATATTGAACAATCAAGGACTCATTGACAGTTTCTTTCAGCAAAGAAATAGAAGACAGAACAACTATGTTAGCTATCCTGTATATAGTGACTTCTTAGTGAAATTGTTCATTTGATAGGGGAAGACAGATATATTTTAGGTAAGAAGGTTATAGTTTTTTTGCTCAAGAAAAGGAATTACTTTTAAATCCTTAATCAGTTTTGAAGATTGAAGGTTCTTTCATGGCCCCTTTTAGTCTAGCTGTGATCATTGTTTGTTCTAGCTCGTCTTTATTCCTGTCTTGATCACATGAGAGAGGTGCTGGGGGATGCTGTGCCTGATGAAATACTGATTGAAGCAGTTCTGAAGAACAAGTTCGATGTGCAGAAGGCTTTGTCATTTGTTCTGGAACAAGATAATGTGCAGAATTTGAAGGACAAGAGTGGGAGAGTAATGTCTACAGGAAAGATACCAAAAGGTATGCCTTTACTTGTTTTCTTTCCATTGTTTTACTTAGTTAATGCTTCAAGAGATGTTTTAATTTGCTCAAAGTGTTACAAAAAATTAATTTGCTTGGGCTGTTAAAGTCTTGCATGTTACAGTTAACAGGATTCTTTACCGATTTTTCTACTTTGTGAATTTTTAACTGACTACTGTTTCCTTCCTCTGTCACAAACTGTTTTTTGGTTATTTCACTACTTGTTTGAATAACTGACAGAACATAGGGGATATAAAATCACATAAAACAAGACTTTTTCCCCTCACTGTTAGTGTCTTAAACTTTTTAATTTTTTAAGTTCTAATGAGATAGGAGGTAGAAATTAGTAGTTAGCCATTTAATGTTCAATCCTTTTATGTTAATATCATGCATAAATGTAGTTCATTTTACTTAAATGCCATTAAGTATTGTAAGTATTGTAATTATACTACTCTTGCATTCTGTAGACTTTTAATGTTAAACTTGTAGGATTTGAGGTTATATTTCAAATTCAGTTGTCAGAGGGAACAGGTATCATTACATTAATTGGTATGATACCTGTTGGTAAGAGCATGATGATTTGTTAACTGGGCTGATATTTCTTCTAACCGGTGGTCTAGAATATTGCTATGACATAGTTGCATACAGTCTGTTACCAGGAAATAAAAGTACTTTTTGTGGGGAAGGAACACAACTCTGTGCGTACTTTTAACTGACCGTTATGGGAATTAGTCTGTAACATGTCATCTAAATTAGTAATGTATCCCGCGGTAGAAATTACAAATTGTTACTTAGGGATTGAACCCAGGGCCTTAGGAATTCTAGGCAGACTGTCTACCCCTGAGTTCTACTTTACCTCTCCAGAGTTTTACCTCTCCAGCCTTTTTAAAATTTTATTTTTGAGACAGGGTCTTTCTAAGTTTCCTGTGGGGGCCTTGAACTTAGGATCTTCCTGTTTTAGCCTTCTGAGTATCTGGGAATTATAAACATCCACCATTGTGCTTGGCTCACTTTTTTTTTTTCTTTTTTTTGTCTTTTTTGAGACAGGGTCTTGCTATGTAGTTCAGGCTAGCCTTGAGCTCACTTTGTAGCCCAGGCTGGTCTCGAACTCTCGATGATCCCCCTGCCTCAGCCTCCCGAGTGCTAGGATTACAGATGTGCACCACCACATCTGGCATTGTTTTTTTCATTTATTTATTTATTTATTTATTTATTTATTTATTTATTTTTGGTCTTTTTGAGACAGGGTCTCTCTATGCAGTTCAGATTGCCCTTGAGCTCACTTTGTAGCCAAGACTGGTCTCAAACTCACAATGATCCTCCTGCTTCAGCCTCTCCAGTGCTGGGATTACAGATGTGTGCCACCGCACCGGGCTCATTCTTGTTTTTAATGTGTTGAAATATAGCAGAAAATGAACCTAATTTTTTTCATTTTTTAAAGTTTTGAATTTGAAACAGTTGTGACTGTCATTATGGTAAAACCTCATGTTAAAATTTATGAATAGTAGAATAGTGGGTACTGTTCACACTTGTAATATGAGTACTGTTCACATTTGTAATATGAATAAACAAAGTATGAAGTCAGGTTAGATTGTTAGGGAAAGATTATGTTTATTATGATTTTTTAGCATACTCATTTAATGTTAGGCAATGATCAAATATTGGTTTATTTATGTCATAATTGAAAGAAATCATTTAGTAATTAAATGCCTTATTTCATATTTCCTTTTGGTTGCTGTGACTGCCTTCTGCATGTGTCAACCTACTCATTTGAAAATTAATGGCTCTTGTAAGGTAAGGAGTCTTATTTTCTTCCTCTGAAGCTTTAGCTGATAATATTCAGAGTTCTTATTCCCAATCAGAAAGTCATTTGGATTGCACTACCAAATCCTTTGACTTTTCTAGCTCAGTAGCAAAAAACGGATCTTACAATTCTTCAGTTGTACCAAGTCAATATTTACTTCATAGGAAAAAGAAACTTGACAGACCTAAAAGTGAAAAGGAACTAAAATTATGTAAGTTATCAAAAGAGCTTTCATTAGCTGACCTAATTCATGATATGCCAAGAGACACTTGTAAAAGTCATCCACCAGTAAGACTATCATCCGCAGATAGTTTGGAAAGCATGCTTTCAAAGAATGTAGATGCTGATTTGTTAAGATCTCATGCATCTGAATGTGTTTCCAAAGACAATTGTGTTTTCAAAGGAATACCAGATTTAAAATCTTTAATGATAGAGAGCACAACAGACAGTAATTTATTTATTCAAAACAGTTCACTACCTGATTTCCAGAACATTCCAACACAAAACAACGTGAGAAGTTTGAACAGTCCTTTGCACTTACCTAGTTCATTGGAAAATACAACTCTTGATAATTTAAACCCTAGTAAAAATACTGATGTTGGAAATGTTTCTTTAGTTGAACGAAGTGCCAAGAACTACATTTTAAAAAATGACAATTTGCAGTTTTCGCACTGTGAAAGTCCATCCCTAGTTGAACTGTTTCAGGAGCATAAAGGAAGTGATCCAAGCCAGTGCTTCAGTTTATCTGATCTGTGTAATCAGTCTTCTGCCAGTTTCAGAGATCTAAGTTTGGGATCCTTTCCCCTGTCACAGTTAGCAAGTCGTTGTCAGTCTTCTACTGGAATATCAGAATTAACAGGATCTCTATCAGCTTTGGCATTTCATAAAGCTTCTCCTACAAGAGATCTTGAGAATTTGTCCCTTTCTGATTTGATTGCAGAAACCATTGATGTAGACAGTGCTCAGATTAAGAAAGATTCCTTTGAGCCCAGTTTATCTGAAATGAGGTCTTCTGGAATAGATTCAAATATTGATCTTAGTGTCCTGATAAAAACTCCAGATTTTGTGACAAAGCCTAGAGTTGAGCAATCGGTTGCTCCAACATCAGGAACTAAAGTTCTGAGTTCAAAGTTAGGGAAAAATTTCAGTTCTTTCAAGGATAATAAGAAAAACAGTAAAAGTTCTCTGACTAGGACACCACCCTTTTCTGTCTCGTGGACCAAGGCCCTTGCTGCTAGACCTTCTGCTTTTGCTTCGACACTGTGTCTTCGTTACCCGCTGAAAAGCTGCAAGCGGCGCACCCTTGACCTCTATAAGACTTTTCTTTACAGTAGACAAGTTCAAGATGTAAAGGACAAAGAAATAAGCCCTCTTGTAGCAATAACACCATTTGACTTCAAGTCAGCCTCTCCTGATGACATTGTGAAAGCTAATCAAAAGAAAGCATTTACTAGAGAATAGTAACAAAAGGAAAAGCTGGTTATTGTTGTAGAGCTTTTTATTTTAAACTAATTTAAAGTCTTTGCAGGATCACTTTATATTATGGGATTCAAATTGTGGTTTTTACTAAAATTGTCTTAAGTCAGTTGAAAGCAACTTAAGTCGATATGGATTTTTGCACTGAAAATTTTTTACTATGTCTTCTTTTAGTGATAACTGGTTTTATTTGTGTTAATAGCCTGTAATGAGTGTATGTTTACAAAGCGCATATGGCAACTTGATATTGTGAAGTTGAACCTCAGATATTTTTGTTTGGCATTCAACTTTATAAGTTTTTATGAGATATTTTCTTCTACAAAGTATTTTTGTGCTTTTTTCCCTTAAAAATGCCACCAGCTGGGATTATTATAGTGTAAAGATTATTCTTATAATATGTGGCAAAGCAAAGCTGAGACATAATTATATTTTAAAATGTTCTTGGTATACTTTCCAATGTCATTACTTTTCTGTAGGTGAATTCTAAAACTTTTCTATTAGAAAATCTTAAAATTCCTAACATTTGAGAGTACTATGGTTATGGTTGAAATATATTTCTAATGATAATAAAATGAAAATCTTTTAAGGGACCATGTAAATATGAAGTTGGAATAATACATAAACTATTTTTATACATTTTCAAAATCATTTGTGATAAAAATAAATATACTTTAAAAATAAATACAGGATGTTTTCAAGTATGATTGCATGTTCTTTGAATAGACAGTTTTTATCAGATCTCTGAAACTTTTTCTTTACAATAAATAGCAAAATACGGAATTTTCATTTTTTGCTACTGATGGCTGTGTGTTCTACAATGAGCAAGTTTTATTAATGGCTCTTTTGGTCCATAGAATAAGTATATAAATCATCCCTTATAGCGGTGATCCTGAATCAGAGTAACTGGGGGATATTTTTAAAGTACCAGTGCTATCTTTGCTCCAGACCTGCTGAATCAATCTCTTCTGGGTGGTGTGCTTTCAGGATGATCCCTTGATGATTCTGACATCTACTTCTTGAGAAGGAAATCAATAGAATGGAATTATTAAGGCTAAAAGTACCTGACCACCTGGATTTCTAGATATCAAGAAAATTACTTATTGGGAGAAACGGTCTTTGGCATAAAATAATGCTGATTTTATTTGTTTTCTTTTTTTTTTTCCCGAAAACAAATGGTATGGGGATTGAACCCTGGCTGCTGGCCTGTCAGGCATGCACCTGACAAAAATTTGCCCTGTTGACTAAGGGGATGTCACTTTTTGAGATTCATAGGC